TAATTTTTCAGACAAATCCAGCTGATGCTGTGGCGAATCCCATCATTGGATCAAATCGCAGTCCCAGCATCCCGACAAAAACATACAAAAACCATTAAGTTAACACAAGTCAACTACTAAAACGATCTAAAACGAATAGCAACAAAAAAACATCTAGTCAACTAGTCCTAACATGTCCTAACCCCTGAATAACGGCAAACCATCCAAGCCCGTTCATAAATCCGCAGTCTGGACCTCCATCCATGGCCACCATCTCACACCTCAGAGATGTGTGCCATATGTTAATACATGTTTGCGTGTGTATATATATATATACATACATACATACATACATACATACATACATACATACATACATACATACATAACATTACATAACATTACATTACATTACATTACATTACATTCATACATACATACATTACATACATACATACATACATACATACATACGAGAAACTATATAGCTATTTATATGTCAGTATATGTTAGTGCGTATATATATATATATATAGGAATAGTACATATATATATATATGTATCTCTATATATATATATATGTATATCTCTGTATATATATATAAATAGATGGTAGAGTATGTTGATACATGATGTAACATGTATCTGCATAAATTGGAATAAATCACGAACCGCACCCAAGTATATTACCGTTGCTGTCACCATTTTCTTGGGCCAGGGATAGTTACCTAGACTTTCATTCCAGTGACGTCGCGACGTGAGGTTGTGATGACATTTATCCAGAATAGACAATTGTATACAGCCAACAAAACATGGATGATATATGGCACTATGGATGCGTCTCCAACCATGGGTTCATTGCGAAAATGTTTGCGGCAACCATGGAGGTTACAAACCCATGGGATTTAGGGGTTCAATTCTTAGATGCTAAAAAAACACAGCAAACATACAGTAGCTCGTCAGTAACTATTCCTGATTATGGTAAGGAAGATCCAACCTGAATGGAAAAGATCGACACATCCTCTATTCACAAACTATCGTTCTAGACAACCCATTAACAGGCACCACACTTGGTTGTTTATAATTGTGATAACCCGCCAACAAAAACTGTAGAAACGTGTTTCCTGGATGGTATAGAAGATGTTTTCCCAATATTTTCCAGGGGTCCAACTTTTCTATCTTTGTGGGTCCATGTCTCCCACTGAGATGCCCAACTGAGTCATATCTGCAGGCACGCCCTCGTGGAATTTTCCATGGGGATGACCCAGATTTTTGGCATGGATTGTGGGGATATTCCCTGAAAATGAGGCATGAAAAATAGGCCTTCTATATGGTAGGTACCTCCAATAAATCGTTTCCTGACATGGCCATTGACGATACATGAAAACCCAAGAATCACTTTTGGATTATTCAGAGATTGGACATTGCCGTCTTGCTCCTTCATGGTGCTGGAACCCTCGTCATTTGGACATTAGCCTCCAGATTCCAGGTATACCACAACGGCCATGCCACTCCAAGTCTTGGTCCGGGAACTAAACTGGGTAAACCTTGGTCGTATCAAAGATGAATATCATGGACCATGGAGTGTACATAGTGAGTTGGTGAAGTAGGGTTTATGTTAGATATATCGAAAGTTTGATGGCTTTGTCCAACTTATAGCTGGATTCCAGACACCCAACATTGTGGGGATACCATGGGATATAACGGGGTATGCATACAACCAATATGATCAATACTACTGCGGGGATACCATGATATATTATGATATAAATACATATATATATATAGAGAGAGAGATAGATAGTTAATGGAGGCTGTAGACCTGCGAACAAAACTGGGGGCAGTGGTATCTTTCACGCCCTGCGCCTGCATGGCATCCATCGGCATGCACATTGACCTCAGCTGGACTCGCTTCAAAGCCAAAGCCAAGATGGTTTGATGCTGAGCATGATCAATGACCCAATTTGGTTTATTGGTCTACTGCCATTTCTCAATGTTCCAACGAGGATAGAACAAGGGGGATTAGGGGATAGATTCATATCACATTATATGAAATTGATGTTGTGGTCTGGTATGTTGCCCCAAGTTTGACCCACACCCGGGTGTTTGTTAAGCCATTCCTTCGCAAAAGGGAAGGTCTACATCCTCAAAGACCCCAGCATATTTAGGGCTACCCTCCATGCCAAGTTAGAGCTTGTTTTGTCTTGTCACTTTCCACCCATAATGATATATAAGCCATATATATAATATATTATACATACATACATATATATATATACCCTCCAGTAAATTAACATAGACCCTGGTAGATAGGTGATTTTCAGGGTCTATGTTAATTTACCAGAGGGTATATATACACTACCGATGTTTCTGAACTGGACATGCTCAGAATTTCCAATCTCCAATCATTGGTGGTTTCACCCAATTGTACTGGATCAAATCATCCCAAGGTCCCAGGGGTCCCAGGATGGTAAACCCAGCGATGGATCCCTTCATCGCTGGGTAATGACATTAATGAACAATATATGGATATGATGATCTTGTACAAAAATGATATTAATATGATATTTTATAATGAATCATGAAATTGATGATCTGGTAGAATTTTTGGAATTGATGATATGGATGATATATTGATGCTATTCACATACATCTATCTATCTATCTACCTACCTACCTACCTACCTATCTATCTAATGTGGGATGAATAATGTCATAAACCACCCATGACTGGGAATGGTAAACATACCACCTATAAAAATGCTGATGACTGGGGGATGGTTTATGTTTGTTTTACCCACATAATCTTTCAAACCACCAACATGTTGTCATCGTTGATTGGTTACCCAATACATCACCACCAATTATCCCTCATCTTTAGATGGATAATTCCCTATTGGGTTAAATCACTCATTTTGTTGATTAAACGTCCGATTTTGTTAGTGATATAAAAATCTGTTTTGGATGCCTAAACCTCAAGGTTAGATGGTTAAATCCCCATGTTGTTTGATTAAAAAAACAAATGATAAACAAAACACCAACTTCCATGACGATGAACACCCAGGTCTAACAACCCAAGTTCGGGCCATTTTTTTCCGCCCAAGAAGCGAACAAACATCGACCTATTCACCCAGCCACCAGGGTGAAACCTGCAGATTTCTGCTTGGGTTCCCCAGATTTTCCGGCCGAAAAAAGGTGAACTTCCAGTGGGGTCGGGTCCGAGCGCCAGCCATTCTGAGCTTCCCACCAACCAGACATCGGATTGTAGATCATCTCGGGAGGGTTGGATTTTCTCTGGGAATCCCTGGGAAATTTGATGATGATACATATATATATATATACGTATTTATATATACACATACATACAACTATACATATATATATATATATATATATGTATGTAGTATGTTAAAAATAATATATAATACACAAATGATGGATATACACAAATGGTGACATAGATGCTTGCCAACCTATAGGGTGCTTGTTTTATGATGGTCCTGGAAGACTGAAAATTGAGGTTACAAGCTGCCTACGACTGGGAGACCGTATATTGGAATCTACACGAAAGAAGTTACTATGCGTGAATCCTACGGTATTCTCCAGCAATCAAACATGGCTAGCTGGATACTTCACCATTTATGGATGATTTTCCCAGCTATAAACCTCCATTTGGTTCGGGGATTTCCCAGCGGCCCGTCATGGTTGAGAAAAACGAAGGGCAAACTTTCCTGGGCTCATTCCAGCAATCATTGGTCATCACGATTCTTGGGTGGTTTCGACTGTCCCATAGGGGATAACAAATAAACATCTTCCCATGCCCCTAATGTGAAACACTCCCATTCTATGGTCCCAAATATGATCCAAATAATGTATAATTTCCCTACTAAGTTACTAAACCATGGTTTCTGAGGAGTGTTGAATACTAAGGGGATGAGTTCAAACCATATATATATACATATATATATATAGGAACTCTGATATTCCCGTAAAAGGGGTATTTATTGCTTTAAATATGTCGTAAACCCAAGGCAACTAAATCAATATAACCCACATTTCATAATCAACCAACCATCAACCAACCATCAGTCAATCATCAATTAACCATCAATTGTTCAATTGCATCCCCATATTTTCTGGTTGAAACCCATGTATTTGGTGGTTACACTCCACACAATTGTATGTTTTATTTTTAATGACTCCCCCACAACCGTTCCGAGATGCACCAAAAATCGAAAAATCGCCGAAGAAGCTGTGACTGTGACGGGCACCCCAACTGGCACACCGTAGTAGCCGGACATGTCGCCATCATAGCCCATTCCTCTCGGTGGCTGCCCTTCAACCAAGCCAATGATCTTGGGTTGGGTGAGGAGACTGCAACTTGACTAAAGACAAATAAGGCTTTGACCAGGCAAACATTGGACATTCAGAAAATTAAAATGAAAGAGTGATGTCCTAGTGAAATTCAGATGGAATCCAAATACAATGCTATTTCAATGTCCAACAGGATTATTGGAAGCCAGGTTCATTTTTGGAGGCAGGGCAAGATCAAATAACTAGCGCTTTCAGCTTACCATTTGCCTTTTACCCTCTGACAATTCAAAAAAGTCATGTAGACACATGATGTTTTGGGGGACATATTATCCACAACTGAAAGAAATACCAGCTAGCCACGTTTGTTCACAAAAGGAAATATTGAAGGTCGTTCCCCATTAATTAAGACCTTTTGCTTCAGGCGCTCTTTTTCAACCAGCTTTGACACTGTATCTAGACTTCAGAAGCCACACAGGCTGCCCTGACGCTCAGTAGCATTGCATGATATTGCATGAATTGAGAAATTGTAGACATGCAATTCCGGGATGATCACACATGTGGCTGTCTTGAGTCTCAAGCAAAAACAATGTTGGGGCTAAGTATTCCTTCAAAACATGCAGGTCATTAAGGACCTGTAGGATGTTGATCTCAACCTTTGGGGCTTTGGTGAAGATCCCAGAGATGAATTCTGCAAACACTGTGTCCAAAAAAAGGAAACGTGCCCTGGCACACTGTCGCGACCAAGCTTGGCCACATCCTGGGATGATCTATGGGGCTCAAGGCGACGAAGTCACTTCGTCATCCTCGCTGCATCAGAAGAGTATGGCCTGGCAGTTACTGGAACACGTTTTCACCAACTAAAACTGCCAACCTTTGCGTGGGTGGCTTTTTGGCAGGCTCCCCATGTTGATTCATACCTCTATGTAGTTATGGATCAGAATTTGGGGCCCTGCAGATTGCGAACTGAGATCTTTGGCATCTTTTGCATCCCATTTCTTTGTTCGCTCATGTTAGTTCAATGTTGATCCATATTGAATATTCCATTACATGTTTAGCAAATATGTAGCTCATGTTAGCTCATTCAACTATCTCATTCAATCATCTGCCATTACATATCATATCATACATATCATACATATCATACATGTCATACATATCATACATATCATACATATCATACATCATCTTCATTGAATCTCCTATTTCAACATATTGACCCGAAATGACCGGAAACACAAGAGGAACCCGATTCTGGGACTGTTCCTCGGCGATGCCGACTAGCTTCATGATTACTCCACCCTAAAAGAACATCTGAAGTGCTGAAGCTGAATCTGAATACCATATATATATATATATGTGTATTCCAAAACAGAAACCAACAAAAATATCACAAAACCTCTCAACCAAGTTTTGCCCCTTGTGCTTCCATGGCATTTCTTCTCACGCTTGAGGTACCGTTCCAAGTCCTAGGCCCTTTAGGCCCTGGGCGGGGTAACTTCATCTCCCGCAAGGCCGGGGTGAGTTGGGGGAAACGAAACAAAAGCCCCCGCTTGGAGGGCGTCTGCGAAAAGACTGAGAGTAGTGAACACGCTAGGGATTAATATACATGTATGTACGTATGTATGCATGTATGTATGTAGGTAGGTAGGTAGGTATGCATGCATGCATGCATGCATGCATGCAGGCAGGCAGGCAGGCAGGCATGCATGTATGTATGTATGTATATACACATATCTGTGTATACATATATATATATATATACATATTAATGATATATATATAATGATACATATATATATTGCGTATCACAACAATTCAAATAGTAGGTCACACATATAGTCACACCATATCATGATACTAGTCCAAAAAACACCATAAACATGTAACATGTTGTAACACAAATAGTAAAACAAACAATGACAATCATCAGTTATAATAATGATTCCTCAGCTGCCAATAACCATAAATCAACAACCCCTAAAACAACCGCTGATGTTCACCTTGAGATCGGCACAATGCAGCCAAAGAACAGAACCTGCCGTGCTTGCAGCTGCACTGACCAGTCTTGCTGCCTAGCGCTCGGGCGGGATGGCGGTTAAGTGCTAGTTGATGAAGATGACTTGATGCTTGCATATCCCAACAGCCAGTAGTGTTTTTGGTGAAATATCACCTGTAAATTCTTGGTTTAAAGTGGTCTTTCGAATTGGGTCATGGCCCAAGGAGATGGCAGTTAAACATACCACTGGGGATGGTTTATACCATCCCACCCTTAAAAATGGAGAAACATACGGTAATGTTGGGGATGGTTTATTGGGTTTTCCACATTATATATGGAGGTTCTGAGTTATGACCAACATAAATGAGGAGCTGCTTCTCGTACCGTTCCTAGGGATCATTCACAAGGGGTATGCAACCTCTCAGCGATTCAGTTCAGAGGGTGGCAAATGGGGGTTTCGGGGGTACCCACAATGGATGGTTTATAATGGACAATCCTACTTTAAGAAACCTCCAAATGACATCCCTCAATATTGAACCCCAAACAAGGCAATGGTCTTGCAAACCATTTTTCGGGGTTCTGTGTGAGTATTCAGTCCATGTGTCCAATTTCGGGTGGGAACTAAACTCTCAAGGCTGAGAAATCATTCGCCATCTGCTCACTATCAAGGGTGGCAATGGTCCATTGAATGGACGACCTTTTGCCCCCAAGTTCTCTGGGTGTGTCCTATCAAAAATGTGCAACTTCAAGTTCAAGAAATGAGAATTTGATTTGAGTATCTGAGTCAAAAGTTCAGATTCTTCAAGCAAACATCTGGGCCAAGTGTAGTATGTTTTGAAAGTAATCCACCAAGCAGAACCGTTTTTTTCCACATCTTTCCACCAGGTCCTGTCCAATCGCCCACCCCTGGTGTCCTCACTAGCTTCTCTGTTTCTGGGTGGCTGTGCCACCTGCGACCCGCACCGCACCCACGAATTGGTGTGAAAAATGGGGGGCCGTGGCCCTCTCCACCCTCTAGTTTCATCAACTGCAGGGGCCCCAGTGAAACTATATAATGTATCATAATGTTATATATATATATATAATTATATATAATATATATATATATATACAAAATTCGCTATCGAACTTGGAGGCCCCCCTTCCATCCCCTTCCTGTTCCCCTGAAACTCGTGGACCAAAAACATCCCAAATGCCTCTGGGGCCAGCTGCGGCCGCGCTTGTGGCTGCCTTGCACGGCGGCAGCGCGCTGCATAGCTGGCGCCGCCAAAGGCAGCGCTCAACGGGCTGGCGCTGAGCACCAGCAGAGCAGAGACGGCCAGCTTGCCGCGGTACTCCTTGGTGGATCCACTGAGAAAAAGAAAACGGTGCTGACCGTGAAAATGGTGAAGTTATGATTTAATGTTTTGATGTTTGATGTTTTGCAGGTTTTTTTTTTCAATGCTCTTTAAAGCATATTGATTTCTATAGATGTTGGTCGTTTTTTGTTCAAACCTTGGTATAGTTTCCATATATTTTTCACCATCAAAAGTGGTGATACAATGAACAAGAATACGACAAGTCAGAAGCACAAATGGGGATTGAATGAGGATTTATGGAAGTTTCAGATTGGACACCAAAAGAACACAGCCACACACCAGCAAAACTCTCAGTTCATGACCAAGTCATAATGAACAATTAAAATTAATCAGGCAAAACCTATGAACAAGTGTGAGTTCATAACAGAGTCCAATTCACACATTTTACGTAGTACTGGAGCCAGTTCAAAACCCTGAGATATTTCATGGTGACCGGGCTTCCCATCTCAGTCCATTTTTCCCAGTTTCGGATGACTATCCAAGCCCATGATCCTGAAATCATCCAAATTCTCCAGAGTGCTTCTGAAAATTAGAGTATATATCCCTAAACGGTTAACCTTCCCAATATGTTGGATAATTTGAGATCTCCAAGTCTAGTACATCTGCAAAGGGGCCCTCCAATTCTAAATTGGTTTATAACACCATCTAACTACAGATATCCATGAAATGAACCCCAGTTAGCATACCCTTCGGCAATTAAACACTGCAATCAAAAATCTAGACGGTTTTCTCATTCAATCCTCCATCGAGTTCGGGAATTTCCCAGCCAGTAGTTACTAATCATCATTGGTTCCGGTAAATCCGATTATCCCCATGTTCGTTTCTGTTTAAGTTGGTTAACATATCAGTAACATATCCCCATTCCTGTTGCCTAAATACCATATAAAAAAATGTTGTATCCCCACCATCCACCGTGGCGCCTCTATGGGTCCCTGCACATGACAGCGCAGCAGATATCGCGGCGCCCAGGGGAGCTTGGAACTTTGGGGCAAGGTGAAGGTTGCACGGAGCGCTTCCTGGTGTGACCCCGGTGAAAGGTCAAGGCTGGGTGACCCTGGGTGGGTGAGTGATATGGCTATCAGCTATAATTGGCATATTATGTAACAACCATAATTTATGGATTTGAAGAAGCTTAGCATACATGGTTAACATGCCTTAACCATTGTTTTTTCAACCATATTGGTTTTTAAACAGCCTTAACATACCTTACCCAGCAATAATGGCAATATGCCACCAGTCGGTGTTGCCCCATAGCTAGCATTAGCTACATTGGTTCAAGAACTAGGGTTTATAATGGGTTTATATTGGATCTATGGAAATAAAAATGATGTGGCAAAAAACCCATGCCCATAACCAAGGAACACCACCTTGCAGGAAACATCAAAATGTGTATACATACATATATATATATATATGTATATGTACATAGATACTTTATCATCTTTATTTTTAATCAACATTTACTTCCATTTATCTTCAAAACACATGAGATGTACATAGATACTTTATCCCGTCACCCTAAAAATACATACTGGCCATAGCTCTCCAAGTTTGCAGATCCAATACGAAACTCAGGTTTTGTTTACCCTCTGGCATCTGGTAATTTGTTACATAGCTATTGAAAATTGGCCCATTTATAGTTGATTTACCTATTAAAGATGGTGATTTCCCATAGCTATGTTAGTTTACCAGAGGGTATTTCAATCCAGCGGAATCCAGCGGTGTAGCATCATGAATTTTTCCATGGGTTACACAATTTTCAAACACACCCAAGAATCACATCCGATTACATTTGATAAATGAATACATCAACATTTTATCCCCATATTTTCCCCAATATATCCCAATTGTATCCCCATAACATGTCAAGTGAATCATTATATAAATATAACTTTGACATAGTTTGGAATGTATTAGATATAATAAATATGACATAAATATTCATAAATCAATATGAATCATAGTTCGAATTCCTTCCCACTAATCTTCAACAGCCCCAGTATCAACCATGCTTTATTGGGGGATTCAATCATGTTTGAGACCAGTTAGAGGGTGTTTCATATGAACGGATGAGAATAGTTAGGCTATATGTGCCATGGCCAAAACATGGTACATGGTTTACAGTCATCCATCTCATAATGAAAATCCACACATGATTAGTATATAATGGGTTATAATGGTATATAAATCACTATAACAATTTATTAATGACAATGCCACTTTCGACCCCTGGCATATAACATCACATAGGTTTAGAATAAATACTTGAGATATCTGGAGATATGGCAGTGTGTCAAAACCTCTGTACCCCTGGTGAACATCAAAATAGCTGGTAAATGGATGTTCATCCCACTAAAAATGGTATTAATAGGTATTGACCCATACCCATATCACAACTCGCCAAAGTTGTCGCCTGTGGACTCCTCGCCACATAGAGCCCCCCCCGATGCTTCGGCAGGGCGCGATCGCGCAGCAGGCGACCCACGGCATACTCGGTGACCTTTTTCAGCGCCGTAGCGTTCCGGGAACGGCGGAGAACACATTGGGATTCAGTGTATACAGACCTGATCACATTGTTTTACATTCATTTACCATGTAGATCCATGTAGTATGTACTGATGTGACTGATGAGGTAATCATTGTGTTTTATTGTATAATACAATCACTGTATTAATATGGAGGATATGAATGATTTTGATGTAAAACAAAACAACGTATCATGTGTTTGGGAAAATCCATTCGCAATTCCTGCTGCTCATGGGTAAGATCTAGACCTTTAGCTCCGAACGGCTGCCTCGTCCGCCACTTTCTCAGGCTTGAATTGTTGGTTGTTGGAGCACCAGGGAACAATAAGTACCAGAGAAATGAGAAATGACCATAAAACAAACAAACACACACTCAAGTGTGAATCAATCAAACCAGGCAAATCAACCAAAACAATAAAGGTAAAGAACTATAAGGTCGTAAATCGATATGAGCATATTGCAACTGAAATATCCAGATTCATCCCTCTCCCTGGAGTCAACTAGACTTCAAGGGAACATTACCCTCCGGTAATGACTAACATAGCTATTGAACATTGTGATTTATAGTGGAATTACCCATTGAAAATAGTGATGTTCCATAGTCGTGTTAGTTTACCAGAAGGTAATTGATTTACACAAAATCAACGTACAACGACCAAACACTTGATAACCTTAAAAAAAAACATCTCTGGGCGTTTCGAATCCGCAATGTTACCAACTGCCATTGCATTTTGTTGGAGTAATCCCAGAATTGTTAATCGCCAGACATATACAGTATAGAGAGACTAGTTCCCATCAGAGTATCCTATAGTATTCCCATGATATATCCCATACTATTGATGGTAATAAATATCAAATATGGATTTGACTTAAAACATGGTACCCCTAAGTCCGCTGGTTAATCATACATTTCTCTGTTTTTTCTGTTTTTTTTGATGGTACTCTGGGGTAGACTAACATAGATGTGGAAAATCAGTGGTTTCTGGTTTCCCTGGGGATATGATACAATGTACAAATATATTATAATAGGTTCTCCACATCTTTTTGTACGTTCGCCAAAGGGCACAATGCCAACCCTTTGGAAGAATATACCATGGATCCATGGTTTTAATTTGGGCCTTTATTCCATCTCATATTGAGAATCTTATACTTGCCGTAAATGGTGCCTGGTAACCCCCCAATTAAACAGATTTGAACAGCCTATTGATGAAAATCATCCCATCTCCATGTCCGAGTCACGCCATCGTAGATGCTCAGCAGTCGACCCTCCACAAGGGCTACCACCTCACGGATGAGTTTTGGTTGGCTCACGTGGTACCCTCCGGTGTCATCAAACATGGCAATTTGGAAATCACTAACCTATAAAACTATAAATCAGGGTTTGGATGGGAAAATCAACTGAAATGGGAGATGTTCATTGCCAGGCTTGATTGCCGGAGGGTACCTAAAATGGAGGCACAACGTGCCAGACAAAAAATCCCTTGAACATTGACCATGACCATGCATAGACTTAGATATCCTAGATACCATGCAAAAAATAGATGTTTGGCTAATTCGTATCCCAGGGTGATGGCGGCCAAAGGGTAACGTGGGTAACATCCATATGACCTTTGCAGCTGAGTTGGATCCCCTTTTGATTTGTCCAGCTATGATGTCATCATTTTGTTCATGTCGTTGCGTTTGGGATCTTGTCTAACTTATTCCCATTTTGAAGAGGACACTCAAGCACTGACCCGCAGTGAACAAACATAGCAGCTCAACATGAAAATAATATTTGATGCCGTTCCCGGTGGTGACTCATCCCTAGTATGTACATATATATATATATATATATTATATATATATATTTTTTTTAATGATCCCCAATCAATAGGGGTAGTTTGATGGCTCCAAATACCTTTTTTTGGTCACCCGTTATGTGATATCTTCCTGGCCTTGTAGAAGTCACCCCGCTCGAAGCTCATGGCTAGCAGCCGCGAAGAAGCTCGGAAAAGCAGTTTCTGTCAGTTCAAAAACAATTGCCCTAGAGGTCATGGCCAACAAACAAGGATATTCATGTTCAAAGGTCGAATCTTTACTATCATGTGAAAGGACAACTCTTGTATAGTAGCTCCTTAGGTCCTTGGCTCATAAGAGCGAAAATGGAGACCCATAGCTCTTTAGCCCAGACCTAAACGTTCAATGATATCTACAACTCAAAATGGATACTGTATTTGATCAAACATGACGTATAATAACCAACATCGACAGTAGAAATCCATAACTGAAAATACAAAGCCAAACGGTGCATATAGGGACATTCCCCACAATTCAAGAAACATAGAGGGAGATGTAGCCAATCAACTCGGTAATCACCTGATTTTCATTGCTAAAGTTGGTCATGTCTTGATGCAGTGCCATTGCGTTGCTGACGGGATGTCTGAAACTGCCATGCCTGAAATTCACATGGCTATGGATCAAAAGCATGGTACCTTGGTCAACTTTCATCACCTGAAATATGGTACCCATTCTGGTAAACATACAAAAAGCTATGGAAAATGCACGATTTATAATAGCGGATTTTCCCATTAAAAATGGTGATTTTCCATAGTTATGTTAGTTTACCAGAGGGTATCATGTTTTGATCCGCCCTGATATCTTGCAATCCTTGTTGCCGATGGATATCTCCATGATACTACACGTATGTAGTCCAACATAATATCGGGTGTTTATGTGGTAGTGTTCACCCCTTTCAGCCAGCAAAAGGGCTGTTGATCTTTCACTGTGTGAACAGGGCGCCTGTTCAAAATGACAGGCACACAAGGGCAGAGAGGTGTTCATCTGGGCTATCGCCTATCAACCGCTTGGGAGAGTTCCAAAACCATCTTCAAAGATACTTACAGTAGATGTCTATCACACTTGGACACCTACAATATAATATCCATTTCTCTCAGTCTCTCTCTCTCTCTCTCTCTCCCCCTCCTCTCTCCATCTATGATGGTATATATATATATATAATTGTATATATATATATATGTATTTATATGTACATATATCATACTGTGTCTCTTGCTATGTGTATATATATAATAATATACACATAGTGAAAACATGTGTAGCTATATATATATATATATACACGTACACTCTTAACATTTCATAACTTCGATACGAAAACGCAACAAACAAAAACAGGGCCTCGCCATGTCGACACCCCGCGTCCTGCGTTGTACATGGCCTCCTCGCTCCAGGCTGGAGGGAGACACATTTCCTCTTCGCACATCCTCCGTGGAACGCTGCTGAGCTGGTAATCCAGAAGTGAATGTGAATGGCTGCAACCAACAGAGGGGGTGAATATGAATATTGGTGAATCTGGCTGAATAATTATAGTTCATTGACCTGAAAATTATTGAAGCTGAAACTTGAGGCCTGAGGCCATTTGGAGATGATCCTTACTAACCACCTTTCCAGTGACGTCACACTGAGGTCATCATAATTCATCCAGAATGAATGTGAACCAAAGAAATTCGAGTTGTCCAAGATGGTGTAGAAGCAGCCAGAAAATGAGGATACCATGATAATGAAGCCAATTCGTCGGGATATGCTTAGACCATCGACCGAAAATCGCTGCGATTTTTGGGTGCGTCTGAACATGGGGAAATCAATCAACAATATGCCGGGCCCAGGTGCTGAAATCCCAGTTATCTTGGAGGAAGTCAAGTATAGCTACGGTTGAAAACCAGTGACTCTCCAAATTGGAAGCTTAAACTTCACACATGAAACCTTTTGCCGCTCCTTTGGTAACCTTGCATTAAACATCACTATAACATCACTTCTAACATCACTTCTAACATCTTATAGCTTATAACTACCTCAAAATCTGTGAAAAACTCGGCCAGTACAAGATGTGCGCTGTGGATCCCATGTATCCCATGTTGATGATATTACTTGGTGGTCCTGTTGGTTCAAATCGGAATTTGATGGTCGCATTCGATGAATTGATCCGTTTTTCCCGTTGAAAAAGGGGTGCATGTCCATCTTCTGTTTAAAATACAAATGCAGCATTAATTTATCGAGTTCTCAAAATTCCAAGGCCAAGTATACAAGGAATCTCAGCCCTACCAGGTTGAAACCAGCACTGATTTTCTCTTGGCTTCGCCTACGTGCTTTGCAACCTAAATGACCTACACGTCTCAAGGCTTGTTGCGGACAGGCCATACTCGGACCGGGTGATGGTTATCCGGCTATCCTATCCCCTTGGTGGATGTGGTACGGGATGCGGCCACTGTAAAACACATGGGAAGTTCTACGGAGAGAAACATGGATGTATCGTCCAACAAAATCGATTGTTGTACTGTTGTGACTTAAATTACCGAGAGGTGATTGGCATCAACTAATAACTAATAGTTTCTTTTTCCATAAATTCTGATAAATCAGATGTGTGTAGATGCGTGTAAATGATCAGCAAAGTTTTAGCCAAGCTTAGATACTCTGCAACAAGAAAAAACAATGGGCTGCTTGGGTAACAATGAGCTGTTGGGGTTCATATTTTCCATTTCAGGCAACAGATTAAGATGTATTACATAAACTACCCCGCACCAGTCGGTGTACCAAAAGATCCAATATGTTTGCTGGCAATGTCCACGTGTCCACAAGTTTCCTGGATTATTGGAGACCAATCTCACCAAATCAGTACTGGCGATTGCCTGCCCATCCATTGGGTTTGTCCAGGAAGATACCACACGTACGTGTCATGTCATGGTTTTGTTAATAAAGCCTGCTAAGTCCACATTTGCAGTGATTTGGACAATTCCCCGCATTACTAAATTGGTGTTTAACAGTTACATATTCATCTGGTTGGTGGTTTCAACCCCTCTGAAAAATATTAGTCAGTTAGGATGATTATTCCCAATATATGGAAAGTATTGGAAAGTCATAAAATTCATGTTCCAAACCACCAACCAACCGGTCATAGTCATACGCATGTATAGTGGAGGCTTTGGTACATGGAGCTTCAGGTGAGCTCACCCCAGGAATCATAAGGAAAATCGCCACAGTTATAAGTGGACTAACCTTTAGTGACTAACCGACTAATTCCGAGTAGCCTCCTTATTGTACATTCCCTCTACAGATCATATGGGCTTGTCTGAAAATGATCGGAAAACCACAACAATCTTACCTGATTTCATCAAATTTTACCCAGGTCTATCAACTTTTAATCAATTTTTACCAAGTTTCATCAATGTTTATCCGATTTCATCCAATTTTTTCATGTTTTTGTTGATGGTTCGTTGCCTCTTTTCCACACAACACATGGCCATGACCTGGCCGCTGGGCTCCGCTGGGCTGCCAGGCCCAGGGTAGCCCTCGTTCAAAGGCGGCACGTCGTTCAGGTCTGGAGCAGCGCGCATCATTGGGGACCTGGGTGCCAATTTATGTTCGTCAGGCGCTGCGAAAACCTGCCATTTACAAATGGATCTGATGGATTTACCATGTAAAAAATATACGAGGCTTTAAATGGATTTTATGGACATTCTAAGGGATTGTTGGAGATTCAAAGCAACATGAGGCCCCCAGTTAGTTAACCAAGGTAAATGTCAACTTTTATGGATTTGATGAAGTTAATATTTAAATATTAGTGTAAATATATTACTATTCATACTAGCTGGTTGGTGGTTTCACCCCAGTTAGGATGATTCTTCCCAATACATGGAAAAATAAAACATGTTCCAAACCACCAACCAACTAGGGTTGCTTGGGGGAATACAACTAGAAAAGCTGATTCTGCTGGATTTACTGAGTTGAGCAACCACTAATGCAGGGTTTTTCGGCCACCCACGATAGCTGGATAGCTAAGTGAGGCCGTCGGGGGCCGAAAACCTTCTGTGGATTTAATGGATTTACTGTGTATGTGTCAATCTACTATACAGAAAGACAACAATACCATATCATTTATCTGTAAAAATAATATGTATATATATAATATATTATATATATATTTAAACTTGTAAATATGTGCTTTTTGATGGCAACTGCTTGATAAACTATGAACAGTTTCCTATCTACTTATATAAATCTACTCAATGTGTCTCGATAAGAGAGAAATGGGACGTCACACACCCGCATTTTATGGATGCTGTCGGGGGAATATATATATATATATTGATACAATTCATTGGTTTTGGGGCATACCACATACCTCATCTTCAAAGACGTGGCCAACCTTAGCTGGGAGTACCATCAAATAAAGATCGCTGATGGTAGGATAGTGTATTCCTCCAGTAATGTGATGGTATTCCTCCGGTCATCAGTCACAAAGCTATGGTGGCAGTGAGGGAATCTCGATGGTTTAACTTGTTCAATTCTCAGGGGCTATCTTTATTTTTCTGCGTTTATATATATATATATACATATCACTATAAAACTATAGTAACTATAGTACAGATCACTATATACTACTTACATGTTAATCATATCTCAACGTTATATGAGATATATATATAGTCAGATTTGAATATCACATAGTTTGACCAGTCACCAAGCTGCATCCTCCACATTTGATGTCCATCCCTCAAATTGGTAATGTTTGGTATATAAATATTGACCTATATAGCCATATCAGTGGATCGCATGATACCTACCTTTTCTTGGGTGTAACATCCTAGTTTAACAGTTTTTCTGTCTCAAATTCCATTTTCATGGTTGAGTCTTCCCGAACAATGGGTCTCAAACATGTGTGTGTCTGAAGATGGTTATACCAAATCCACTGGTTAATCATCATATTCCCTCTGCAATTGCATTTCTGATTCTATGATAGACTTCAATAGTCAAAGTAGTGGTTATGTAATGTATATATATATAATATCTCATTACATCACCATTCTTTATACCTGAGGCTGAATTTCACTGATTTACGAAGCTGAAAATAGCTGAAACTTGAAGCCAATTGCGGATGATCCCCACAATTCATCACCATTCTATCCCATCCCAAAATGTATTTATATATATACACACATATTTATCCCCATTGTATCACCAATTCATCCAAATAAATCCCACTATATCCCCATACTGTTGGTGATATTCCCAGTAGATCCCATTTAAACATCCCGTTTCAATCCCATAATAAACACCTTTCCTCTTGGTTAAAGTTCCACTGCTTGCCATCATATCCCCATTGTACCACCACTCGCCGTCCCAGCCACGGGGTATCCGGGACGAAGGAAGTTTCTGAGGTCTCCTTCGATTTCGTCTCCTGGTCGGGTGCAGCGGAATGCTATGGTTTAATGTACACGGAGTAGGTGATGTATTGATGTTTAGCATGATAGAATCTGCATATGCATGTGTATATATATATCAATATGTATAATGTATAAAGTATAAATATATATATATACATACCCGCAGAACCTAACATTAAACATTTGCCCAACTTTGCATAATCTACTACTTTTACCACAATTCTCACATCTCTCATCAACACAGGGTACAAATAACACAATCATACATGGTATAAATGCCACCCTATTAAATAAATATATATATATATATGTCAGTAGAACGGTTTCATAACGGATTTGATCTGCGTCATAGCATAAATACAATACGTGGCAAAAATCCACCACCCCCCTAACACAATGGGTAGAAGGATGTAATAATGGGTTTACTAAGCAAAGCAACATATCAAGGGTCCAAATCTGCCACCTGACTAAAATGCTTTACCACAATATGTAAAAGGGTATAACGTATAATAATTGGGTTTACTTTTTGTAAAATAATACCCTCTGGTTATTTAACATAGCCATGGAAAATGGCCCATTTATAGATGGTTTACCTGGGTTTACCTGGGTTTACCTATTAATAGCATGGTGATTTTCCATGGCTATGTTAAATAACCAGAGGGTAACATAATGTAAAACTCACCACGGTCCTGGTTTCAAAATGAGACTCTCGGCAGCAACCCTTCACACGCAGACTGACCGGAACTGGGTCCGTTGAAAAAGAACATCATTTTCTGTGTGACAGGTGTGGGCTCAGGGCAAACGTCCGGTTCTGTGCGTGTATATTATATATATATATATGTATTTAATTCAATATCTATAGACAAATAGATATCAACCACACCTGTGTAGGTCACATATCTATATATATATATACAATATACAATACATATATATATATATATCAACATAGTATATATAGCTTTCATTTAAATAGGTGAAACTCCCTCTGCCACGTTTGTTTACCAAAGGGTCGCTTCATAACCCTTCCACAATGCTTATATGGGGTTGGGTAAATAACCATTCCTGTAGTATATAGGGATTACTGTAACACTTAGTAACCATTAGTTGGAATAGGGACTATACATGTATATGTATGCATATATAATATGTGTAATGTACCACTACACTTCATCCAGATTATTCTTCATTGTATTCCCAACCGAATGATTCCCATCATACCACCATGTTTGTTGGTTGGGTCAACATTTTTGATGGACAAATCACCATGTAAAATCCAATTAAACACATTTTTTGTTGGTTAAGTCACCATTGTTCTTGGTTAAATCACCATTGTTTGTGGTTAAATCACATTTTCCTTGGTTAAATCACAACTCTTCTTGGTTAAATCACATGTTTTTCTTGATAAAATCACAACTTTTCTTGGTTAAATCACATGTTTTTCTTGGTTAAATAACCTTTTTTGATGCAAATCATAATCTTTGTACTGCCATTGTCACAAAAACCATGGCCATCTCTCCTGGCTGGAGCTGTGGCAAGGCCTGAGTGTTTTCAAGATGGGACTCTTGGGCGACAGTATTTTTTACATAGCCATGGAAATGGCCCATGAAAATAGATGGTTTACCTATAAAAAATAGTGATTTTCCATGGCTATGCTAAATAACCAGAGGGTAATAATATATATATATATATATATGGCAGTGTGTCAAAACCAATAGTACCCCTTTTGTTCACATGAAAATAGCTGGGATTTATGGATGGTCATTCCCCTAAAAATGGTATTTTCATAGGTATTGATCCATAGCCATATAAATCAATGATTTACCCTCTGGTTATTTAACATAGCCATGGAAAATCACCATGCTATTAATAGGATTTAATAGGTAAACCCAGGTAAACCCAGGTAAACCCAGGTAAACCCAGGTAAACCATCTATTTGCATGGGCCATCTATACCATGGCCATGTTAGTCATAACCAGAGGGTAAATCAATGGTATATGTAGATTCTGGTATAGATTTACCCATGATATTTGATGTGTACCATCCAGACTGATGAAGTATATAAAAATACTCCAGAAAGTGAAAAAGACACTTTTGACTTTGAGTTGATGGCAAACACTGCGGGTGACTTCGTGTGACCATCCTATGATCGAGGCGACCGAGCCAAGTAACCAAGGAGCGAGGGATTATTCATATCAAAGCCATAAACCACCTCTTTGGCATTGATTTTCATGAGCCATTTGCAGATATTTACGGTATTTTTTTTGGGAGAGTTCAAACAGTTGACTTGTACGACAGAGTTGTCCCCTGGCATTGTGGGCCAAAGGGTTGCTTCGATGCTAACGTAATGGCCTGGTTGCAGGTCAAGCCTTGGATCTAAATCTGAAGTGTCCTTTATCATGGTATTCACTGTTCAGAACTGAGCATATCCGAAACATGCCTAATCTAAGCTACCGACCCCAAAAAAAAATATACTTCTACAAAGCTGGAATTCCTTCGTTTAGATCAAAACAAACACCAACCTACTCATCCAAGGTCTGCCTAGGAATGTTCACCAGTTGCATCTGCCGCCGGGAAACGACTCGACATGGAAACGAGGTGATTGCGCCTGTCATGGACAGTTTGGGGCGTCATTCCAAATCAGAATGGAACATTTCAAATATTTGAAACCACCAACCCGCTAAACATATGAGATAGGTGCAGACACGTAACCAGAATAGTATTCATACAATGGGTTACCATCCCCTCAACTAACATCATTGATATAGACCCTGAGAAGTGCCCATTCTTGAGGAACATTGTCTTCCAACCCCTATGAAAGGCAGTTTATATACCTGATTACACATGTATAACCCCTATAGCAACCAATGGTTATTAAATGTTCTCAATCCCTACATACTACATTATTGGTTCTTAACCTATTATAAAACCCCATAAACACCTAAATTGGAAGGTAAGTCAACCGTCACCCACATGGCCAATCACCATGGATCCATCAGGTTCTGAGGTGCTGAAACCTTCGCAAACTACTGTGAACCACCAAAGTGAATAAGTCAAGACACCCTCAAACATCTGGGATTTTTTCATGGGCTTCATGTATGCATTTTACTTATCCACATTTGGGCCAACGTGCGACTCTCCGACTAGATGCTGGAAAACATTCCCCTCATGGAGCCTTTGGGTATGGCACTTGTGTGTGCATATGTAATGTATATATAATTATATATATATATATATGATTATGATTATACATGCATATCTCATTTATCATTTATATATCACTGGCAAATGGTTTTAACATGTTTTAACCAGTTTAACAGAATTCCGGCAGGACAGACGCCATTTTGGATGGCCAACGCCATGGCCCAGGAAAGATGATTGAAAAAGTGTTTAACATAGCTATAGATAGCTATAGTATGTTAGAAACTAGATAGTTATTCTATTTACAGTACCTATATGATGTACCTATGATAAACATGGTAATTGTTTATAGCTATATATGTTAGATAACCATTGAGCACATTTGAGCACAATCTACAGAACGCTGCGCCCTTTTTTTGTCTGCTCCAGCTCCAGCGTTTTTTTTGCGTCGCGCTTTGTTGCGATGACCTGGGCAAACCCTACTGGGGGGGGGGGTGCTTTGTGGGGGTTAAAACTTATGGGTATAACTGGTATAACTACCATGGCATTCTATGGTAAAGTTGGAATATGGGGCCCAGCTATGGCTATGGTTTTTGTTCAACCACTGAATGAACAGTGGAACTGTGGCCCGAATTATCGCAACTGATAAGCCATGTGGGTCAACATATGGATGAACATGCAGTTGTAACTAAAGCTATTTTTGGTGTGAATACTTCAGGGTGCCAGGGTGAACAGACCAATCATGTCAGTATAGAATCAGTCATATTTTGTACATACATCATATATATATAATTATATATATATATTAATGTACACATTACAGTATGTGTATACCACAGTTCTCAGGTACTTCCCAGAGTTTTTGTAATTGAATTATAAAGGTGGATCATTAGTCGATGCATTTTATCATTTTGACCCACGATTTGGGAGTCAATTGGGATATCTATCTGGCTTCTCCCTGAACCTCTGGAATTATATACGTCGGACCCATGGAAGGAAACAACTACAGACCACACATCCCCTTCTCATGCTCTGACTCTGTGAGAAATACTTCCCACACATTCAACAAACTTGCTTGTCATGTATGTTCACCATTTCTGAATTACCTCTTTCACCTGCAATCAACTGTCCATTCCCCAAATATGAGCCACCCCTGTTGCCAGCGGTGGTTATTTGCCCCGTGAAGCGGCAGCTCGTCAAAAGCCGTGCTTCTCACCCATGATCTTCAACAAGCGTTGGAACTCTAGCAACCTCAGCTTTATACGAGCCGTGCTTCTCTAGATAAATGCTGCGGAGCAACCAAAACAGTGATTGATGTCACTTGAAAATTGGAAAAAATGACGGTTGAACTGCAAAAACACCAAACGTATCGTGCTTTTTCGCCACAAATCGTTTGATTGCGAAGCGAATCAAGGAACCCATGGAATGATTGTGGGGCTACCGGAGTACCACACATACACACACATACAACCCCAAATTTCAACCACAAATCGGGGAGATAGTCAAACATACCCTCTGGATCCCTCTGGCAATCAAACATTGTATAATGAAAAATCCTCCATTGATAGTTGATGTTCCTATAATAAAAACAAACAATTAAAGTGGATGTTCAGTTGCCATGCTTGCTTACCGGAGGGTATTCAACAGTGTCAACCAATCGATGAATCTACGGCTCTGAGTTTGGTTGCTTCAAATTGACAAGGTGCCCAGATCTCAAGTGCGGCCCCCGAACAAGGCCTAGAATCAAACATGTCCAACAGGGTATTTTAAACGATTTGATGAAACATGATGGATTCTTATAAAAGTGGCTGCAACCAAACAGCAACGCTCAGTGACTCAAGGGAAAAACTTCATTACTCAAAAGAGATTCAAGTTAACAATGTGGAGCTTTAGCCGCCAGTAAATGGAGAGAAACAACGCACAGAAATTGAGATCAAGCCGATCGATAAATTGGTGTGCTTAGCAACACATAGAAGCATATTTCATACTAACTGCACTAACTCATCCCTTGCGCTTAAAGCTGCAAGGTTGAGTCATGTTGGGAGTATATTATATACATGTTTGCGAATATTCCAGATAGCATTCTGTTGCCATTAACAATTTGTTCAATTGGAGTTGCCCCGCTGGATATATTCCCTTTCCGTCCATGCATCTCCACTCCTCCCTTGCATTCAGGAAACGACAATCTCTTGTCCCTGTCCTCAGAAGAAACAACAAAAAATCTATGGCACTGGCACTGCCGTCACTTACCCAACAATGATATGGTGGTGAACAGTATACAAATGACACCCCAAAAAATGACCCACCACTACCAAATCCAGGTTGATAATTCATTGGCATCATTTTTCACATTTTATTCCTCTGATGTTGATTTTTCTTGCTGATAAAACCAAATCTTATTGGTCTTTGTTGGTTGTAAACCTATGTATTTAGATCTGTGTGAAAGTCCCACATGTGTATTTGTATTATATAGTTGTCCCTTGTTTGAATCTCAGAGTCTTCATGGTTGCTCGTTCTCGCCGCTGACTTCTTCCGTTTCATCCGCACGCAAAGGGCCTAGTTATCAATCAACTTAGCTATCTGGGTGTGTCTGAAAACTGAAGGGGTTATGTACCCTCTGGTTATTTAACATAGCCATGGGAAATGGCCCATGAAAATAGATGGTTTACCTATTAAAAAATGGTGATTTTCCATGGCTATGTTAAATAACCAGATGGTAACATGTAAACGTCATAAATTACCCAGGTGAGATCCTCCATGGGGCCCGATTCTGCGCGGGTCCAAGCTGGTTCAATCAAAGGACCGCATCAACCAGGTGGAAATTCTCCACGCACGCAGACTTAAGCTCTTCAATCTCACCCTGACACTGCGAGGAAGTGACAATTGACAGATAAACACAGGCACAAGCTTATCCATCTGATCCTCAGATCTATCTTAATGTACTGGAGGGTAATCCATCTCAGTCTCTTTATCTGATATAATATACTATATCTCTATATATAACCTAAACCAAACAAAACTAAACTTTAACTAAACAAATCCAATCCACCCCATTTGTATACAGACTCTTTTTGTATATATATATGATATAATATAATATTATGTAATCATTATGTAATATATTACAATAGAATAGAATTTAATATATTGATTAATAAACATATATCATATAATATTATATTACATTGCATGAAATTACATTTAATTATATTAGATCATATCAAATTATGTTATATTACATTATATATTATATTATATTATATTATATTACATTAAATTATATTATATTATATTATATTATATTGTATTATATTATATTATATTATTAGATATATACATATATGTACGCAGTACACATGCAAATGGATGTCAATGGTAACTAGGCTATGGGATTGCTGGATGGATACCAATATTTTTTTTTTTTTTAAGGAGCATCTTACAGCCTCCCAACAAATTTAGGATAACTTCAATAACAATCACAGTTTCCGGGAGAAAAATGTCATTTGTTTATCCACTGCATGTTTTTTGAATGAAGCAACGGATTGATGCTTGGATCATCTTGGACGCCTTGGCACAAATCATGCCATGATCATAGAAACAACACGCCTTGGGATTGGTCGAAAGTGGGATGTGACATCATGTAAGATAGATGGTAATTCTGATTGAATGTGAATGTACTATGATATACGATGATTATGCTGGCGGAATAGCCTATGCTGGGGATGGTGGTGATCCTGTGAAGGGCCCCAAACAGTCGGAATTCTCGTGATGCGGGTATCTTTTTAGCACTTTGCGTTGAGACAAATCATGATCTACCCTACGTCCATCCACTTTCCAAACATTGACCATCCATTTATCATCGTAACCCTCAGACAGACATGCTGGAAATTCAAAATCACGGGTCATGAGATAACAATCATTTGCAAGATGTTCAAACAGTTTTTCTATATCCTTGACCGTTTCTGTATTGGATTAAGTGGGTTTATCTGGTTCCATGTTCAACTCCAAACATATGATCTAGAATTTCTATGAATTTCTAGTTTCTATTCCTAATTATCTTGCAGTTAGTGCCATCGACCCATCCTGTTTTTTGTAACCGGAAGAGACCCAATTTCTCCATTGGCTATCCACTTGGGTTTGTCCCAAAATAGGGTGCCCATGGGTGCCCCCCCAGTTGGTCTTAGCTGTCTTAGGGCACCACCCAATGATTTCTTCAATCTTCGATCCCATTTCTGCACGAAGCCGTTTTCAGCATCCTGCTTCATATCCCATTATATATATATATATATATATTTGTATCCCCAACTAATCCATGGTCTCTTGTTGTTAAAAACACCCATATTTGGTTGGCATATATATATATATACATACGTACATCCATGCATGCATGCATGCATACATACAAACATTAAATTACATTACATTACATTACATTATATTACATTACATTACATTACATTACATTAC